TGTTCCTGAGGAGGGAACATGATCTCTCAGTATAATATTCTCTTTCAGAACTGTTGCAGCTCTCTGGCCCAAGCTTTTGTGCTGGTGCCACCTCCTCTGTCCTGAGGAGGGTCACATCAAGTGTTTGTTCTTCAGCTTTCCAGCAAGGAGAACACCGAGCACCATGAAATATGTTCTGTTCTGGAGCCTTTCAAATGAGACCACGGAAACTCAGCTCCTGCTCAGCACTGATTTGAAATAACCTAATCCTAAAAAATGCTAAATCACTCTGGCAAAGCTCCTGCAGTCCTGCTCCTCAGGATATCAGCCCTGAGCTATGGGGTCCCACAGCTTGCCAAGATGGTCCAGGCTGGCAGGGCATTTCTTTCAAGCCCTCTTGCCCTGGTCTCACTGCAGGCTAATTTGTGGCATGTTCCTGAAATGCTTCCAGAGAACTCCCAGGAGGAAAGGACACAAGAACAGCAAGGCTCCATCCATCTTCTGGCAAATGCAGTGGAAAAAAACATGGACCAAGCATGGGCCTTACAAAGTGGGATCTGTTTGCAGCAAACCACCAAGGGCTCGTGGCTGGTAGGCTCCCAAATTTTGGCTGTGTATTTCAAAAGCATTTCTTGCACTAATTCAGCACTGGGTGAGATCCCAGCCCTTCAGAGCTCAGCTGTGGTGCACAGAGGGCTGAAAACACCCTGATTTTCAGCAAAGCCCCCCAGCCTTGATTTCCTTGCAAGCCATGCCTGCACTCAAAGCAGAAATCCACACGGGTCCTTCCCCATGGGATGGAAGTGCTGGGTCCCAGCTGCAGGCACAGAGCAGAACTATTTGTGTCTGAAGAATAAACTGGGGGTTTTTTTGAACCAAAACACTGCTGCATCAACTATCCCCACCAAAATGAGATTCTCAGAGTTCTGCCCCAAGGAGAGAGCTCGAGGGAGAAGAGATGCAGATGGCAACAACCAATCTCCTCAATCAATGAGTTACAAAAACCTCCCTTGAGACAGCAAAAGTAAGGGCAAAGCAAGGCTCCACAAAGATGAGAAAAGATGTGGGCAAATATACTGGTGTGTGTATATTAAAAATAAATCTCTTCTTTTTATGCTCTTTGTTCAACTGCATTATCAAAAAAGAGGTTTTAAATACAAGCTTGTGGGACTACTAAAGAGGTGAATTTATGAATGTATTCCTAACAAAACACACTCTTGAAGGCTTTAATCTATGAATTGTGACAACCTTGGACAAAATGGATTTTTAATAGAATATAATGTAAACTGCCTGAAACACTGTGATAAGGAATTTTTTTTTAACTAATGCACAAAAAAGGCAACGATGCACTCTGCATGAAAGGAGGAAAGGTCTTAATTTAAGGCATTTTAATGGACACTCAATTTGCGTAGGGAAATGTGAGAAACGGAGATGCAAAACTCCCGATAGCAGTTCACACTGCAGAGGGGAGAGGCAGAAAGATTAGAAAAGTAAGCAAATTTGCAAATGCTCCAGCTGATAAGAGGGGCTGCAAGGAATGCAGGCAGGATTAGAAGATGTCACAGCCCAGAGCCACTGCTCTCCTCGCAGGCTCTGTCTGTCAGGGGCTCTTATCAGAGCTGAGCACTGGGGAAGGCACAGCCCAAGGCAGAGCAGCCCTGGCTGGGGTGGAGGGCACAGGTCTCGGGGTGGCTGTGACTCCTGGGGGCTCCTCAGTGTCCCCAGAGCTGTGCCAGGGGCTGCTGGGGCTTTCCACCCTGCTCAAACCTGTGCCATTCACATCCTCTCCCTCTCAGGGTTTCTTGGAGAAGCACAGGGAGAAGAAGAGAAAACAATCTTTACCTCTGCTCCTTTGTTTGCCCATGTGGAATGTGGCTGGGGACTGTTCACCTGCAGGGATGGCTGGGTTGGATTCTGGTGAAGTTGTTTGGGGTCAGTGACCAAAGGGACCCAGCTGTGGCTCGGGCTCTCAGCAGAGTCACGAGTTTATTAATTAGTTCAATAGGTAATAAGGAGTAAGTATGGAGAATAGTACAGTATCTCTTTAAATAGTATATTAATGCAATATAGTTTTAATAGTTTTACACTTTAAAACTATAGCCTTATAGTTTTAAAAAAGTACGTGTTCAGCATTCCAAAGCCTTCTGATCTGGAGCCAGAGATGATCATTTCCGGGTTTGTCTTCGTTCTGATATCAAACCCACCATGAACTTGGCCGAATCTCACCCAGAAATCAGCTAAGCTCAGCCCAGAGGCTCAGTTCTGCTCACCCACTGCTCCTCTACCCAGCTGGGTGAGTCAGCAGAAGTGAAATTAATTCTGAGAGAGAAAAAAGCATCTCCCCTGAGGTGGGTACCACTGTGTTCACTGGCAGCTTCTGCTCTGCCACAAAAGAGGCTGATCCTGCACCCTCGCTCAGACACAAACTGCCTTCAGAGAAGCTCCTTGTATTGCTAAAATGGAACACATGAACCAGGTCTAGTGATAATTCTGTCACATTGACCTTAACAGAAGCAAGTTCAGGTCTCCCATCATTTAAATGAAACAGCAGAACTTCTACATAAACACTTGACATTCTACAAAAGAAACAGGAGGGCCATCATTAGGACCAAAAAGACAAATTAAAGGAAAGATCAAAGTTAAATATTTACTCTAAGCACTACAATATTTGCAAATCTGGAAGTGATCTTTCAGCAGTTTCTATTTGCATACTTTAATTAATCCAAAAATATTAAACTAATCTCACAAAGGAAAGGGTCAAAGTATTAATTAACTTGAGATGCATCGCTTTTGTGCAATTTAACAGTTCAACACAAAGCAAAATTCAGTTTTAATAAAAAGTAAGTTACTGTGACAGGTATAATTTCATGGATTAGTGAAACCACATACAAGGCAATAAGTTTCAGTGTTCAGGCTATTTTTTTTTCCCATCCAACTTTAAAAATAGCCCCTTCATTTTGATTTCAGTAACATCAGATGACCTCAATCTTCCTTTACCCTCAGTATTTCACTTTCACACTGATGGTTTTCCACCTTGCTCCAAAGGGAACAGAGGTCATGGTTGTTAGAAGGAGAGAACCTGATGGAGTTCAGAGGGAACAGACCCTGCCCAGCCACCTGTTGCTTTTTGGGACTACCTAAAAACGGAGGGCAGACAAAATTCAGGGGATAAAAAGCAGTTGTATTTATTGAAGGGCCTTCAGGTACATTTATGGCAGACAAAACCCCCCAAGGGCTACACCCAAAATGGACCATGGGTCACGAGTTTTCACACTTTTATGAGTTTGGTCCATTTGCATATTGGGGGTTAATCTTCCAATTACAGCTTCAGCTAATGAAGTAATTTACCCCAAGTTTGCTCCCCCCAAAATTCCCTTTTGTTTCCATCTCTGGGACCTGAGGCAGTGAGGTGTCCTTTATTCCAGGCCTGCAGAGGAATTGTTGTGTCTGCCCAAAACAGGAAAGCAGCAGCTCACACTGTGTGTGGAGTTTAGTTACACACTAAAGAACTGCAGGTTTACCAATATATGAAAATATAAAAGCTCAGATCCTCACGCATCACAGCCACATGAGCCACTGGAGCTGAGCCCTCCCTGCTGGAGCCACCCTGTCCCCTCCCAGCTCCAGGACAGGCACAGAGGTCCCCACTGGCCTCAGCAGCAGCTCTGGGGAGCTGGGACACCTTGCCAAAGACAGCAGCTTGGAGACAAAGTGCCAAATGCAGTGGCCAGAGCATTGTCAGCCCATGAAACCTCAGAAAATATTGATGGAAGGTGGCTGGAACTTCCTGCATCCCCCCAGAATTACAAATGTGCTTAGGGAAAAAGAGGGGTCTCCCCCCACCTCTCCTTCTTCTTCTGTTTTCTTTCCTTTTGTTTTCCTCTCCTTTCCTTTAGCCCTTTCTTTCCTATCCTTTTTTTTTTTTTTTTTTTCTTTTTCCTTTAACTGGGGCACAAGTGCATGGAACAGCAAATGAAGGGAAAGGTTTGCCTGGAATTCATGCCTCGAGGTTGTGTAGCACCTCTGCAGAGACTCTGAGAGGGGAATCACCTCCCCTCACTTCACAGCTTTAGGAGGCAAATGTCTGCATCCCACTTTTCCCTGGTGGTTCCCCAGACCTGTTTTACACAGCCAGGAGAACTCTCCTCAGCAGCGCCCGTTGCTAAAAAGTAATTAAATATCTTCCCATTAAATATCTTTCCCATTAAATATCTTCCCATTAAATACCACTTCTGTGGCAGGTACCTAGGGCTGGATGGGATTTGTTTGCTCCTCAAATACAGCTTCAGAAACTAAACAGAACAGAAACTCTCTTTGTACTCCAGATCTCTGACAATAACCTTCCTAGGTCTAAGCAATTACCAGCAAACATCTTCCTCCCTTACAGGAGTTTTCAGAAAAAAAAAAAACATGGATGCAAAAGACTCTGCAAATAGCAATTTTGACATAAAGTTTCATGATTTCCTAATTTCTAGCTAAATTTATGCACGGTGTGCTTTAACTCTAGAGTAGCTGCAGGATACTGGGGAGAAATTGCTTGTTTTGTAAAATCCATCATTCTGACTAACACTGTAAATTTCTCAGTACTTTTGATCTAGCTGGTGGGAGCATTCCCATCACAAATGTACAGAGCATTCCAAGAGTTCAGAGACACTCCGAGTGTTTTGCAGCATTAGTAAATAACAGTGAATAGCTGTTACTTCCACAGCTTTCAAATAAAGAAGGCTGCATCGTCCCATATTGCTTTTGATTGTTCTCCATATTTCTCTGGTTTAATTCTTTTTTTTTTTGTTGTTGGCTCTTTGGCAACACAAGTTCTGCTGCCCTGAAGGGTCATGAAAAGCAGATGTGAGCAAGGACTTGGGGGGCTGCCTCCAGTTGAATTCAATCATCCACTCCCAAAAGCTCGGAAGTGAACCAGAGGGAATAAAGCTCTGAGCAGATCACCCAGAGCTTTGGCAGGGAGGCAGAGGAGGAATATTGCAGCTGGTTAAGGAGGGGTGTGTGTGTCTCTGGCTCACCTGTCCTCGGCGCCGGGGTCGTTGTGCACGCAGGTGAGGGTGGCCATGCTCCTGGCGCTGTCCGTCTCCTCCTGCACTCCCCACTGGTCAGCATCGCTGACCCTGATGTCCGAGATCCTCACTCCTGAGGCCGTCCTGATCCTGGTGGGGAACAGCAAGGATTGCCTTAGCCACAGATCCACACATGGACGAGGAGGCTGAAAGGAAACGCTCCCTCTCCCATCAGTAATCAGTGACACAAGTCACTCTGCCTTAAAAACATGAAACAGACCCAATCATTTAAAGGGGTGAGCTATGAGTTTCATTATGTGCAAAGCCAGTCAACTTCAGCTTGAGCAATGTGGAGAGATGAAGAATGGTTTCTGCTCCTGTGGCACCAGTCCGATACAAATGAAACAGATGTGATGAAGTTTAAGTTGATTTTATTTGCTTTGTCTGTCCTGCAGTTTAAGATGGGGAATAAGAGCAATGTGATATAAAATACATCCTCCTGCCTGCAGACCTTTGGGAGTGAGGTTCTTCTAATATTAGGAATGTCTGCATGGAAGAAAATGAGTTTCATTGCTCAAATACCATAATGCAGGAAGAGGAGAAGAGGTGTAAGTTATCCTAGACTGAGGGAGGAAAATAATTATGTCATTGCAGCAGGAGCTATCAAACTGGGCACATCAGACTGCTGCTGCTGAAAATAATATGATGCTGACATGGAAAACTTTGATTTCCTGAGAATGGCTAGAGTTTGAGAGCAGTGTGGTAGCTGGTAAATGTCACCGTTTTTTGGCTCAGAAGAAATAAAACTTGCCAAAAATAAAAAGTCCATGCTCCAGCGAGGCTCAGCGTTAGGAACAGATTGCCAAGGAATGGGAAACAAACTGCTGTTATTAGCAGGAACTTCATTTGTGCAGCTTGACTCCTGAAACAAGCCTGGGATTACAACAGGAGTGCTGCAAATATGCCTGGAGAACAATTAGGCAGAGAGAAACTGCTGCGGCGCCACGCTCGCCACTACTGTGACTTAATTAATTAAAAGCAAAGCCAAGAGGGACCTTTCAGTTATATGGTGGAATGGAACAGCACTGCTGGGACCCGGAGTGTTATTTAACAGTAAATTGTGATGGGTTTGCCCCGTGCCTCATGGCCAGTTGGTGCTCATGTTACACCATTAAAAACTTCCTTGGAGCTCTGGCTGGTTTCATGTGCTTGGATCAAAGTGAGTTCACGGCTCCATGGGTGGTGTTTTCCTCTGAGAAGGAATGAATTCATCCTGTTTTTATGATATCCTTATTGTTGCCTCTAAGCCTTTACTGACTTGATGGGTCACATCCATGCCTGGCATAACCAATCTGATGAAAAATACTCTCTGCAACAGGATTTCACCTGATATGTTTGTAATTGTCTCCTTCCTGCTTTCCCACAGACATTCATATCTCCAAACAGCATTCCTCAAAGCTGATGTGCCCCTTTCCTATCACCTCCTCTTCTTTTATCAGAGGGACATTCACTTATTCTGTAGTAATTACACTGGACCAAATAATTCCTGCAAGACACCTGCATGGCTTCATTTCAGACTGACTTGTCATTCACATGAGATAGAGAATTAGGCCCTCAGCAACGGATTCAATATTTTCTTTCATTAGTCAACAACTTCTGAAAAAAAATCATTAGGGCCTGGCAAAAAAATCCCCAAAACCCAAAAAAACCCAAACAAATCAAAGTACCACTTTTTAAATTCTCTCTTCCCCAGCCAATTTTCTTTTTTTTTTTTTTTTTAAGAAATCCATATCACCATTCTCTCAAGTTCCCATGTTTTTCTTGACAATGTGTCTGAAATCTTCTAACCTGACTTTTCACCTAGGTCAAATCCTAGTTAATGAAAGGTTAATTGAAGGGCAGGAGATGCTGGGGGGACAGGCACACCAGGACAGTTGGGACTTACTCACAATTTCAGGATTCATCAGCATTTTCCCATCTGCCAGAAGCTCGTTATGTCCTCCTACACAGCTTTGCACTGCAGAGAGCTTCTCTCTGCAGCAGCTACTTTGTCTGTCCTGAACCAAAGCTGGGAGGAAGAGGATGAGGAGCTACAAGGATGAGGAGCTACAAGGAGGATGAAGAGCTACACCAAGGATGAAGAGCTACAAGGAGGATGAAGAGCTACAATGAGGATGAAGAGCTACAATGAGGATGAAGAGCTACATCAAGGATGAAGAGTGACAACAAGGATGAGAAGCTACAATGAGGATGAAGAGCTACAAGGAGGATGAGGATCTACAGCAAGGATGAGGAGCTACAAGAAGGATAAAGAGCTATAGTGAGGATGAGGAGCTACAACAAGGATGAAGAGCTACAACAAGGATGAGGAGCTACAACAAGGATGAAGAGCCACAGGACAGAGTTCCTGCACACCTGGGCAGGATTCAGGACCCCTGTGCAGCTCCTCCTGAAGCTGCTCCCCTTTGCCTCCATCAGTGGTCCTCCCACAGAGCACGAGGATGCAGGAGCTCTAACATCCCCCTCTTTCTGCACATCCAGCTGTCCCAGCCTGTTTCGTGGACCCTGCACCCCAAAACACCAACCTCCCTCCCGGCCCAGCCCCTCAGCTGTGTGTCCCTCAGCCAGGGAACTCTGCTCTTCACCCTCCTGTGTCTGAGATGCTTTTTGCCATCAGGTGAGACTCTCCTGCCGGCCCAAGGCTGGCTTCCCGTCAGGGTGACCCTTCAGAGCAGCCCTGTGATTTTTGGCCGTGCTGCCCAGCAAGTGAGCAGCGCTCGCTGCTCCCCAGCCACGTTTTCCAAAAGTGTCTCAGAACGCTGCATTTTAGGAAAAATTCCAGTCTAATCCCTTGCATTGCATCTGCTCTGGTGGGCTGAGACAAGATGTCATTTTGCATTTTTGGATATCAGTAGAGCCAGGAAGGTTGAAAGAAGGAAGAAACTACGTTCAGCTTCTCACTTAGGAAAAGTCAAGAAATTCAAATGAAACCAGCCTACATATGGGAGTTTGAGCCTACTGTTCCTCAGATAAGTGATTCACATCTTTAAATCTTCCCCCAAAACTCCACAGGCACAAAAATTATTGTAAGTGTTGGGGACTGAGGCTTCAGAAAAGAGTAAGAAATTCCTAGCAGAGCTGCCATGAGCTGGAGAAAGGATGGTGAATGGCACGTGTGTGGGCCCTACTCCGTGCCAGGCTTCAATTAGAAGCTTGGGTGGATCATTTTGTTTTCTTATACCTCCCTTCCCCACATATAAAATACTGAGTTGCTCTGCCAACTCAAAGGGAACTGTAAGGATAAATGGAATTGCCTGAAAAATATCTGATGTCCTTTAAATTTGCCAGCTGACAAGAATTCTGCCATCTCTGTGCGTGAAAGTGTGGAAAGGAGCTGCTGAAGTATTTCATAGAACCGTGACCCAATAAGCAACTGCTACCACTAAGATGGCTCGATTACTTTTTTAATAAAGATAATTTTTGAAATGAGAGGGGCAAAAAAGGAAAAAAGGAACAAAACATGACAGCCAATTGGAAATTTGGCCTCTCCTGCAGCTCCAGAGGCACACGAGGAGCTGCTTGCAGTGTAGAATTTGGAACACATTTGGCAGCCCTGGCAGGACTTTCCCCTGAACAATGTGTCCCCCATTTCCTGAGGAATATAAAGAGATAAACGTGATGGGTTGGATGGAGCAGCATTCCCAGCCTGCCAACCTGGAACCAGAAACTCTTTTAAAATGCAATCCCAGCCTGAAATGGATTTGACCCCGTGAATTGAGCCATTCTAAACCTCCTCTCTCAGTTCTCCCAACACAAGGAAAGAAAGGGAAAGTCATGTCCAGGGCTGGGAGGAAACTCAGGGGCTGCAGGAGGGATTTAAGCAGCGAGCGCCTGGCGAGGGAAATTCCACAGCCTCCCAGAAAATTAAGTGCAAAATCTGAAAGGTAAATCCTTGCTTGTCACACAGCCCCAGCCCCAAGCCTGGCAGCAGCAACTGGGAGGTAAAGTCTTGGCAAAAGGAACTTTAAAATAGAAACAGAAGGAAAAGATATTTAGGAAATAAAGCAGAGATGTGCTCACAGCAGATGGGAAATGCTCAAAATTATGAGAAAAACGACTTTTTCAGAGCTATTTTAGAAATCCTCTCATCCCCTCCCCACTCCATTAGGGGGGAAAGCATGGTCTGAGCTAAATTCACTCTCGATGACGTACTAATAATAACAGTTATGATAAATTTTATTTGTAGTTTCCAGCCATTTCTATAGTCAGCCCTTCCACACACATTTTTAGCCCAATTAAAAATAAAGCCATTATCCTTTCCCTACAGGAAATCCAAGCTGTAACCAGTTTAGTCAACTTGCCCAAAATTATACTCTGCAGAGCCAGAAGGAGAGTTGATCCATCCCAATTCCCAGCTGGACAGCCCTCCCCATCTTGAAGACCAGAGCAGAGCAGAGCTCAGTAATTCCAAGCCCTCACAGAGCATTTAGCATATTTGAAGAATTGCATGAACAGCAAGCAATTAGTTGTGAGCCAGGTCCCCAGGGAGTTTCTAGCTAAAATACTTGTGTTTTAGGCTACATTAAACCAAGCATTAGAAATTAAAATCATCACTGAGCTCGGATATAACATCTGGGGACGTCTGGGTGTGGGTGAGAGGGGCAGTGCTTCTATAAGGGAAGGAACACAAGGATTCCTGTAGAGGTGGAGGAAGGAGAGGGAGCTGCTGGGAGAGAGAAGCAGGTCTGTGATTCACAGCTCCCACATCCATGGGTTTAGGAGGGAGGCACAGACAGTCAGGAGTTCATCCCTGCAGGGTGTGAAAGCAAAACCTCCCGGGAAATTAAGGCAGAGCAGAGGGAGCTCCCCAGGGAGAGGCACCATCCCTCTCTTCTCTCTTCCTGAGCCTCCTGGACAAAATTCCTCATGGGTAAGCCAGAAAGATGAGGAAATGAGGTGATGTAAAGTCACCCAGGAAATAAACAGCAGAACCAGGAGTTAGACCCGGAGCTGCCAAGGAATATTTTGGTACCTTCACCCTCCTCCCAGGCAGCTCTCCTGCTGCAGAGCCACTGATAACAGCCAGCCATGAAAGCCCATGAAAAATGCCCTTTCTGCTGCTGTGGGCTTGGGGAGTGAGAATCAGGAAC